GTAGCCTGCTGTATGGGGGATCGCTGTTATGACAGGAGGGGGAGATCGCAGAGAGCCCGCACCTCCTCACTACTCCACTACTCCTGTTGTTCCCTCATGTAAGATTGGGGGAGGGGAGCTTGTGGAGGACTGGGGGGGCTATTTGTGCTGGGAAGGGTAATTGGGGGGAGGGATGTGTTCGGAGGCAGGATTGGGGTAGATTTGTGCTAGGAGGGGGGAATTGGTGTGTGGGGGGTTGTGCTAGGAGGGGGATTTGGGACGGGAGTGGATTTGTGCTAGGAGGGGGGAATGGGGGGGGGATTAGTGTTAGGTGGGAGTATTGGGGGTGATATGTGCTACTAGAGTGATTTTTGTATGCAGGGATTTTTGCTGGGAAGGGTCATTTGTAGGCGGTTGTGCTAGGAGGTGGAATTGGGGGGGGCTTGTACTACTAGAGGAGATTTGTACTAGGAGCGGTGATTTGTACTAGTAGGGGGGATGGGGGGATTGTACTAGAAGGGGGGATTTGTGGGGGGAGGATTTATACGTGAGGTAATATTTGTGCTAGGAGGGGAGATTTGTACTAGGAGGGGTGATTTGTACTAGGAGGGGGGATGGGGGGAGGATTTATACGTGAGGGAATATTTGTGCTAGGAGGGGAGATTTGAGGAGCGGATTTACACTAGGAGTGTGGATTTGGGGAAGAGGGTTTGGGATAGAAATGGGTGAAATTTGTACTAGGAGGGGATATTTTAGGAGACAGTTTGTACTAGGAGGGGGAATTTGGGGAGAGAATTTGTGCTAGGAGGGGGGATGGGGGGGATTTGTACTAAAAGGGGGAATTTGGTAAAGGATTTACGCTAGGAGCGGGGATTTGTACTGGAGGGAGGGATTGGGAGAACATTAGTATTAGGAGTGGGGATTTGTACTGGGGGGGGGGGGGGGGAATTGGGAGAAAATTAGTATTAGGAGTGGGGATTTGTACTGGGGGAGGGGGGTGGGGAGAAAAATTAGTATTCGAGAGTGGGGATTTGGGGGAGAGGGTGTGTTCTAGAAGGGGGATTTGGAAGGAAAGAGGATGTGTGTTAGGAGCGGTGATTTTTGGAGTATGGAAGATTTGTTAGGGATTGGGGGGATTTGAGCTGGAAAGTGGGGTTAGGGGCAAAGATTTGTGGTGGAAGGGGGGTTTGGACTGTGAGGATGGGGAATTTTTGCATTTTTGTTTGGGTAGCATTTGGGCTTGCAGAATGAATTTATGCTTAGGGGGTGAGCGTGTTAATTAGTGCTTTGTTTTGTTTTTGTTTTTTTTTTTTGGGGGGGGGGCACAGTTTTTCACCTTCACCTTGAGTGCTAGGTGACCTTGTCCTGGCACTGCACACACTGCACACACTGCACACACTGCACACACATGCACACACTGCACTGCACACAAGGCACTCAGCAGATCTTATCCTCCCCACATAGCGCATAGCTGAGATCAGATTCCTCACAGCATTGATCTGCACAATGTGTAGCTGGCTGCAGTTGCAGTTCTGACCTGTGAAATTTCCAGATTGGCAGCTGCAGTAGCCGGCTACACACTATGTGGAGGGGTACTGATCTCTCAGCTGTGTGCTGTGTGGGGAGGAGGAGATCTCTTGTGTGCCTGGCCATCAGTGACCCTGTCCTCAACTCTGCTGACCACTGTCTGCCACATGCTGACTCCTGTACACCGCCCTGCTAACCCCTGTCCTCTGCACTGCTGACCTCTATTCTTCTGTCCTGTTGACCCCTGTCCTCTGCACTGCTGACCCCTATCTTCTGTCCTGTTGACCCCTGTCCTCTGCGCTGCTGACCCCTATCTTCTGTCCTGTTGACCCCTGTCCTCTGCGACTGCTGACCCCTGTCCTCTGCACTGCTCCCCTATCTTCTGTCCTGTTGACCCCTGTCCGTCCTGTTGACCCCTGCGCACTGCTGACCCCTATCTTCTGTCCTGTTGACCCCTGTCCTCTGCACTGCTGACCCCTATCTTCTGTCCTGTTGACCCCTGTCCTCTGCACTGCTGACCCCTATTTCTGTCCTGTTGACCCCTGTCCTCTGCACTGCTGACCCCTATCTTCTGTCCTGTTGACCCCTGTGCTCTGCACTGCTGACCTCTATTCTTCTGTCCTGTTGACCCCTGTGCTCTGCACTGCTGACCCCTATTCTTCTGTCCTGTTGACCCCTGTCCTCTGCACTTCTTGCCCCTATCTTCTGTCCTGTTGACCCCTGTCCTCTGCCATGCTTACCCCTGTACACTGCCCTACAAAATGCAGACCACCTGTACACTGCTCTACTGACTCATACACTACCCTGCTGACCTTGCATCCTCTGCCCCCCCCTGACATTTTTACTGCACCCCCAAATCAGACAGGCTAGATCTGGCCCTGTCACAGACGCTCTCCATCCAATCTGACAGAACTTGAGTGATCCTGCAAAGAAGAATGGGCAGAAATGTCCCTCTCTAGATGTGCAAAGAGACATCCCCAAAAACACTTGCAGCTGGAATGGCAGCCAAAGGGAGTCCTACAAAGTATTGACTCCGGGGGGGCCGAATACAAATGCCACCACACTTTTCACAGATTTATTGGTCACAAATGTTGAAAACCATTTCTCATTTTCCTTCCACTTCACAATGATGTGCCACTTTGTGTCGGTCTATCACATCCAATCCCAATAGATACATTGATGGTTTTAGTTGTAACATGACAACATGGGGGACATTTCAAGGGGTGTGAAGACTTTTTCAAGGCACTGTAAGTATCATAGGAATTTCCTATCATACTTAGAGCCCTCTAGTGGCCAAGTAGAGTATTTTCAGTTTTAAATCATTTGCCCAGCACAAGAACTAACCTAATGACAATCGTTTTTCTAGCCCATTTGCACAGAAGATGCACTTTTATTGGACAAATTACTCTGTAAATCATTTTTGATTTTAGTGATTTGGCAAACACAGTTTATATTACTAGTTCCTCTTGTATTGAACTGTATTGTTGCTGTATTGTCTCCCGTTATATTGTAAAGTGCTGAGCACACTGTTGGCGCCATAAATCCTGTATAATAATAATGATAATAATAGTAGTGGGGAGCAGCGGTGTATTTATTTCTTGTGCTTCCTTAGGCAACACTATAATCGGGTGCCCCCTACCCCACCAGCACCCCACTCCCCCACAACCCACCGTCCGCCGCCCACCCCTCTCCCCTGGGAACCACCGCCCGCCATTGCTGTCCACCAATACCCCCCTCCCCCCACCACCACACTAACCTCCGCCGGCCACCACAACACCCCCCTATCCCCAACCTCCACCACCCTCCGCAACCACCCAATTCAAGCACTGACCTTCAACCGGGATGAAAGAAAAAAACAATCAGCTATCCCTGCAGTGCCTCACCAAGTCTGGTGATGGGCCGAACACCCCCCTTGTTCGGTTCGCAGTCGAACCTACAGAATGTTCGACCGAGAACTTCGAACATGAACAATATTTTACTGAGCGATATCTTAGCGTATCTGAGTATGTGACAATATACCGCTCAGTTACTAAAATAAAGGTCTATTATTAAATCATGCGGTATTTTATTCCTTCATGTTCCAGCTGTCAGTGGTGTTCCCCGCTGACAGCTGAATGTCAAAAGAATTGTCATCATTGCCCGACAATTAAAAAATGAAAAGAAAATGATGTGGAGCCCCCCCTCACTTCCATACCAAGCCCTTCTGGTCTGGTATGGCTTTTGAGGGAACCCCCACACCAAAATTTAAAAAAAAAATGGCGCGGGGGTTCCCCCCCAAATCCATACAGACCCTTATCTGAACATGCAGCCCGGTAGGTCAGGAAAGGGATGAGCAAGCGAGCGCCAACCCCCCCCCCCCAAACCATTCCAGGCCACATGCCGTCAACATGGGGGGGTGCTTTAGGGCAGGGGGCCCCCATGTTGGCGGGGACAAGGGCCTCTTCTCCACAACTGTGGTTGTCAGGGATGTGGGGGCCCCCCCAGATCCTGCCCCCCCCTGTGTGAAAAAAAAAAAGTGTAGTGTAGAAAATAACAGTAGACAGTCCTTTTTTAAAAACAAATATATAAAAAAAATGTCACCCAGAGAAGATCCAACATCACTCGCGATGCCCACCGCTGCTGTAACCTGAAAAAAGAAAAAAAAAAAAACGCACTTGGCTCGCGACACTGGCCCCCACCGTCTGACGGCTGCTCCATGATAACAGTTCCTAAATATTGCCATGACGTCACAAGTGACGTCATCCTGTTCTGTGATTGGCCAAAGCATTGCACCTGGCATTGCTTTGACCAATCACAATGCACGGTCAGGATGCAGTGCATTGTGGGGCGCAGCGAACACACAAATGATCATTGCTGGAGTCATGGTAAATACGCTGCTGGGGGTGAGGTGGGTTGAGTTACTTATATAGAAAATAGCTACATTTATTATTCATATGATACATATTTGTAGCGCGGGGGGGGGGGGGGGTCTTGACTCATTTCAACTGAGCAGCTGGGGGTTAGCGTGTATATTTGTAAATATATACATTTTATATATATCTTTTTTGTGCATTTTGTTTTTAGTGTGAGCAATTTATGCAGCCCAGAAAGTTTCATGTGTTTGGGTGATTTTATATAAAAATACGGTTCACATTAACAAACCAAGTCATGCGTCATTGGAGAGCCAAGACTCCTCCAGCATAGGACACAGTTATCAGAGTATTCCTCCTCCAGCGTGGGTCCATGGAGGAAAATGCTGTTCCCAGTGGTAGCCCGGCCATCAGCCATTGGAACCTCAGGAGCACATGCAGAATATGGCGGAGTTCATATGATGTATATATGGGAAAGTCTAACCACACAAGCAGACCATTGCTCAGTTCAATACTCCATAGGCATGCCACGCTTCTACATAATATATATATACACTATATTGCCAGAAGTATTGTCCCCGCCCTCAAAATCATGTGATTCAGGTGTTCCAATCCCCTCCCAATCATGTGATTCAGGTGTTCCAATCCCCTCCCAATCCTGTGATTCAGGCGTTCCAATCCCCTCCATATCATGTGAATCAGGTGTTTCAATCCCCTCCCAATCATGTGATTCAGGTGTTCCAATCCCCTCCATATCATGTGAATTCAGGTGTTCCAATCCCCTCCCAATCATGTGATTCAGGTGTTCCAATCCCTCCCAATCGTGTGATTCAGGTGTTCCAATCCCCTCCCAATCGTGTGATTCAGGTGTTCCAATCCCCTCCCAATCGTGTGATTCAGGTGTTCCAATCCCCTCCCAATCATGTGATTCAGGTGTTCCAATCTCCTCCCCAATCATGTGATTCAGGTGTTCCAATCCCCTCCCAATCATGTGATTCAGGTGTTCCAATCCCCTCCCTATCATGTGATTCAGGTGTTCCAATCCCCTCCCAATCATGTGATTCAGGTGTTCCAATCCCCTCCCAATCGTGTGATTCAGGTGTTCCAATCCCTCCCAATCATGTGATTCAGGTGTTCCAATCCCCTCCCAATCGTGTGATTCAGGTGTTCCAATCCCCTCCCAATCGTGTGATTCAGGTGTTCCAATCCCCTCCCAATCGTGTGATTCAGGTGTTCCAATCCCCTCCCAATCGTGTGATTCAGGTGTTCCAATCCCCTCCCAATCGTGTGATTCAGGTGTTCCAATCCCCTCCCAATCGTGTGATTCAGGTGTTCCAATCCCCTCCCAATCATGTGATTCAGGTGTTCCAATCCCCTCCCAATCATGTGATTCAGGTGTTCCAATCCCCTCCCTATCGTGTGATTCAGGTGTTCCAATCCCTCCCAATCGTGTGATTCAGGTGTTCCAATCCCCTCCCAATCGTGTGATTCAGGTGTTCCAATCCCCTCCCAATCGTGTGATTCAGGTGTTCCAATCCCCCCCAATCGTGTGATTCAGGTGTTCCAATCCCCTCCCAATCATGTGATTCAGGTGTTCCAATCCCCTCCCAATCATGTGATTCAGGTGTTCCAATCCCCTCCATGGACACAGGTGTTTACAATCAAGCCCCTAGGCATGCAGACGGCTTCTACAAACATTGGTGAAGGAATGGGTCGCTCTCAGGAGCTCAGTGACTCCAAGTGTGGTCCCGTGATAGGTGGCCACCTGGGCAATAAGTCCATCCGTGACATTTCCTGGCTACTAAATATTCCACGCTCAAACTGTTAGTGGGATTATAACAAAGTGGAAGCAACTGGGAACAACAGCAACTCAGCCACCAAGTGGTAGGCCACGTCACATGACAGGGCGGGGTCAGCGCATGCTGAAGCGCACAGTGCGCAGAAGTCACCAACTGTCTGCAGAGTCAATAGCTAAAGACCTCCAAACTTGGTGTGGCCTTCAGATGAGCCCAACAACAGTGCGTAGAGAGCTCCATGGAATGGGTTTCCATGGCCGAGCAGCTGCATCCAAGCCTTCCATCACCAAATGCGATGCAAAGCGTCGGATGCCGTGGTGTAAAGCACGCTGCCACTGGACTCTAGAGCAGTGGAGACGTGTTCTCTGGAATGACCAATCGTGCTTCTCTGTCTGGCAATCCCATGGACGTGTCTGGGTTTGACGGTTGCCAGGAGAACGGTACTTGCCTGACTGCATTGTGCTAAATGTAAAGTTTGGTGGAGGGGGGATTATGGTGTGGGGTTGTTTTTCAGGGGTTGGGCTTGGCCCCCTAGTTCCAGTGAAGGGAACTCTTAATGTGACATTTTGGACAATTTCATGCTCCCAACTTTGTGGGAAGAGTTTGGGGATGGCCCCTTCCTGTTCCAACACGACTGCGCACCAGTGCACAAAGCAAGGTCCATAAAGACATGGAGGAGCCAGTTTGGGGTGGAGGAACTTGTCTGTCCTGCACAGAGTCCTGACCTCAACCCCATAGAACACCTTTGGGATGAATTAGAGCGGAGACTGTGAGCCAGGCCTCCTCCCCCGACATCAGTGCCTGACCTGACAAATGTGCTTCTGGAAGAATGGTCCAACCTTCCCATAGACACCCTCCTAAACCTTGTGGACGGCCTTCCCAGAAGAGCTGAAGCTGTTATAGCTGCAAAGGGCGGGGGCCAACTCAATATTGAACCCTACGGACTAAGACTGGGGGGCCATTAAAGGTCATGTGTGTGGAAAGGGCGGGGCCAACTCAATATTGAACCCTACGGACTGAGACTGGGGGGCCATTAAAAGGTCATGTGTGTGGGAAGGGCGGGGCCAACTCAATATTGAACCCTACGGACTGAGACTGGGGGGCCATTAGAGGTCATGTGTGTGGGAAGGCCAGCAGCCCAATACGTCTGGCAATATATTGTATATATATATATATATATATATATATATATATACACACCCTTTGTTGTCTGTCATGCTGGGATTTGTATTGCCATAGAGAATCCTCCTTTCTCTCGCTCTCTCGCTTCTGTTTCTCTTTGTCCCCCCTCTCACCCCACATTCTTTTTCCCCTTTCTCTCTCTCTCTCTCTCTCTCTCTTTTCTCTCTCTCTCTCTGTTGATCACTATTCACATCACCATAGCACAACTCACAATTTTTTTTGTTTTGTATAAAGTATTCTGTTCTTTTCTATTCTATTATTTTCTATCTATTCTAATTCAAATTCATTCTATTCGAAATTGGAATTTCAGAAGACAGTTATATTCAATTTTATTCTGTTCTATTGTTTTTATATTCTATTCTGATTGATTCTATTCCTTTTTCTTCTATTCCTTTATTTTTTCTTCTATTTTGTTCTGTTTTACTCAATTCTTTTCTGATCCTTATTTTCTATTCTATTTTATTCTATTCTTTTTTTTTCGAATTCGAACTTGTTTTCTAATTTGTTTTCGAATTAGGACTTGTTTTCGCATTCAAATGTGTTTTTGAATTCGAATCAATTTGAATTTTGTCCGAATTTTGTTTCATTATTTTGGATTCATTTAAACCCATTATTATTGGAATTCAAATACATCCGAATAATGGAAAATGCATCTGAATTTTGATTCGGAGACAAAATGATCCGCACATGTCTACCTGTCAGTGGTCATAATGTTATGGCTGATGAGCGCACAGCAGACAGTCGATCTCAGTGAATACAATGTTGCTATCAGATCAGGAGCACATGCATGAATGGCCTGTATTTTTCAACACAGACAACCTGACAACCAGGATATTGGTCAGTTTGTGTCAGATTCTTACAGAAAAAGATTCATGGATGAGCTGCACCCCTACATTCCTATCACAGCTCCGTGAAAATGAGCCAGCCGGGCAGGGACAGCAAAAGCAGCACGAGGGGAAATGAGCCTGCAGAGAGGTAAGATAAAGGCTGAACAGGGGCGGACTGACCATTTGGAAACTTGGGCACTGCCTGAGGGCCCGGGGTCAGTGGGGGCCCCATGAGATGCCCCTGGTACCTTTTTCATAGGCTTTTTTGAGTTTGGGCAAGGACACAGGGGCCCCATGATCCCCTATTCCCCAGGGGCCCCATGAGTTGTCAGTCCGCCCCTGAGGCTGAACAATGATCAGCTAAGTACTTGAAGCAATGCTCAATTTTTTCACCGGTCTACCCCCCCCCCTCCCAACATGGCACTCTGGGGACGTGCTCCTTCTGCCCCCCACCTTGTCCCAGCCCTGGCTGCATGCGATGCACTCTATAGAGAAAGGATTTGTCATCAGCACACCAGCTGATGTGCAAAGTTTTTTGTGGTTTTTTTGCATGATCATCGCCACCTCATCCCTTTAACCACTTCAATACCGGGCACTTTTACCCCCTTCCTGCCCAGGCCAATTTTCATGTTTCAGCGCTCTCACACTTTGAATGACAATTGTGCGGTCATACAACATTGTACCCAAACTAAAATGTTATCATTTTCTTCACTCAACTAGAACTTTGTTTTGGTGGTATTTAACCACCGCTGGGGTTTTTATTTTTTGCTAAATTAACAAAAAAAAAAGACTGAAAATTTTGAAAAAAACCCATGTTTGTTTCTGTTATAAATGTTTGCAAATAAATAATTGTTCTTCATAAGTTTAGGCCGAGATGTATTCTGCTCCATGTCTTTGGTGAAAATAACCCAAATCACTGTTTATTATTTAGTCTGTAGGAAAGTTATAGAGTTCACAAACTATGGGATAGATCTGAAAATTTAAATACTGACGGCCAATCTAATTTCTTGAGGGCTAAAAATGTCAGAACAGTACAGATATCCCCCAAATGTCAGAACAGTACAGATATCCCCCATATGTCAGGACAGTACAGATATCCCCCAAATGTCAGGACGGTACAGATATCCCCCAAATGTCAGGACGGTACAGATATCCCCCATATGTCAGGACAGTACAGATATCCCCCAAATGTCAGGACAGAACAGATATCCCCCAAATGTCAGAACGGTACAGATATCCCCCAAATGTCAGAACGGTACAGATATCCCCCAAATGTCAGAACGGTACAGATATCCCCCAAATGTCAGGACGGTACAGATATCCCCCAAATGTCAGAACAGTACAGATATCCCCCAAATGTCAGAACAGTACAGATATCCCCCAAATGTCAGGACAGTACAGATATCCCCCAAATGTCAGGACAGTACAGATATCCCCCAAATGTCAGGACAGTACAGATATCCCCCAAATGTCAGGACAGTACAGATATCCCCCAAATGTCAGAACCGTACAGATATCCTCCAAATGTCAGGATAGTACAGATATTCCCCAAATGTCAGAACCGTACAGATATCCTCCAAATGTCAGGACAGTACAGATATCCCCCAAATGTCAGAATAGGACAGATATCACCCAAATGTCAGAACAGTACAGATATCCCCGAAATGTCAGGATAGTACAGATATTCCCCAAATGTCAGAATCGTACAGATATCCCCCAAATGTCAGGACAGTACAGATATCCCCCAAATGTCAGGACGGTACAGATATCCCCCAAATGTCAGGACGGTACAGATATCCCCCAAATGTCAGGACGGTACAGATATCCCCCAAATGTCAGAACGGTACAGATATCCCCCAAATGTCAGAACGGTAGAGATATCCCCCCCAAATGTCAGAACAGTACAGATATCCCCCCCAAATGTCAGAACAGTACAGATATCCCCCAAATGGCCCCTTTTTGCAAAGTAAACAGTCCGATGTATTTCACAAGAGGCATGGTGAGTTTTTTTGAAGTTGTAAATTTATTGTCATAATTTTTCGGAAAATGAAGAAATTAAAGAAATGATTTTCACAAATTTTTTTTTAAATACTGTCACCAGTGCAGTACAGTACAGCGTCATCATATAACTGGTTTTGTGGCGGTGATCAGGGACACTGGTGACAGTACGAAAAAAAAAAAAATGGATAATTTTTTTCAATTTACTTTTTATTTTTATTACATTTTTTTCTCTATTTTTAAGATTTTTTTTTTTCATATTACACTATGACCAAAGTAGTATAATGTTACCATAGTAACATTGTACTAATTTGGGGAAGTGATCAGTATTTTGTTTTTTTTACACAATTTGATTGCTTATAGCAAAGAATTTCTTTGCTATAAGCAAGCATTTAACTGAATGAAATCGATTCATTCAGGGTTTTTTTGTTGTGATTAGCTGTGATTGGCTACTGCTAATCACACGACACAGATGGGCTGTGATTGGCCCAGCCTGTGCATGTGATCGCTGTGACCATTCACAGCTAGACACACTTGTATACAATGGATGTCATGAAAGGAAGCCATCCATTGTATACAACTG